CTTGGTTTTTCTTTATCCTGTGAGATAGTCATGATCTAGGTCCATTACTGACATCAGAATTATCTGTAGCAATTGGCTTAGTTCATTAGGAAATAGCACAAATGAACAGATCTCATATGAATTCTTGGTCAGTTTTCTGCAAGGACTCTCATCCCCGTAGATGGCATCCTCTACCCCACTTAGCTGTCTCCTCTCTGTGTGACTGCTCTCAAGAACAACAAGGGAAAAGGTTGGGGAACTCAGCCAAACTTGTTGCTATTCCTAGAAAAAAAGTGCCTTGAATCCCCATTAAACTTTACAGGATGCAAAATACCTAGATGGTGTTTTCACGTGACCTGGGTCTGAGTGTTGGATAGGTTTCTCCAGTCACAGTTACTTGAGAGAGGCTGTAGAACACACTAAACAGTAAATTATATCTTTCCGTGAAAATGAAACTAATGAAGTACAGCTGACCCTTAACGCAGGAGTCAGGGGCAGTGACGTACCCTCTCCCCGCTGTGCACTCGGAAATCAGTGTATATAACTTTTGACTTCCCAAAACCTTAACTACTAGTAGTTTATGGTCGACCAGAAGCCCTGCCGATAACATAAACAGCCGATTAACACACATTTTGCATATGTATTATATATGGTATTCTTACAATAAAGTCAGCTAGAAAAAAGAAAGTCATTAAGAAAATAATAAATCTGCGCATAAATAGACCCACGCAGTTCAAACCAGTGCTGTTCAAGGGTCAAGTGTAAATAAAATACTCAATTTAGAGGACTTCCAAAGAAGCTCCCACATCCCTAACTCATCTTCCTTCAGCTTTTAATTCTGTGTGAAGTTCTGATGAGTTTCTAGTTACTCCATCTTCTAATCCATTTCCCTGCAGCATCTTGCTTTTTTTTTTCTTCTGAAAGTCTTATTTCTCATTCTCAGAAAGGCTCTTTTCCCCCTCTGAACATTTACAAAAGCACATGTGAGCTAAATAGATTTTTGAACAAGTATATACCTACTGATTCCTCAAAATGACCCCAAAATAGTGGATACACAATAAAGATAGATATTACTTCCACATGTTAATTTTTTTAAAGATTTTATTTTTATTTTTGCAAGAGAGAGAATGAGCACGAGCAGGAGGGTGGGGGGCAGGCAGAGGGAGAAGCAGACTCTCCACTGAGCAGGGAGCCCGAGGTAGGACTCGATCCCAGGATCCTGGGATCATGACCTGAGCCGAAGGCAGATGCTTAACCATCTGAGCCACCCAGGAGCCCTCCACATGTTAATTTTTATAATGTAGAATTAATTCTACATTACGTTTAATGCAATTAATTAAGCTAAGAGCTATTTACTGATTCAATGGAAATTTCTTTTTAAACTGGGAACCACTTGTGAAAGGAAGCGAACTTCCTGTGACCTGCTCTGTTCAAACCACTGAGTTTGTGTGGTTGATTGGGCTCTGGAGTCAGAAAAACCTGGGTCAGTAGATGTGTATCTTTGGGCAAGTCACTTAACTGACCCCAAATATTTTTCTGCCCTTAGAATAGGAACACTAATATCTACATCATGTAGGTCTGAATGTACAGTAGTTTAGGTAAACTGCTGAGCACGTGCCCCTTGGTTACCATGCCCTCTGGAGGGTCGAGGAGGGCAACAGGACCAAGTCTTTGAGAATGGGAACCATGGGTGCTAGCGTGGGGTGACAGCAGTGCCTATAGTAGATGTTAGCTATTATTTTTTTTCCAAGAAGTGGTTTGTCATCTTATAGATTAGTTTGTAAGTGTATATTTTTCTGTTATGGGTACTAGCAGTGATATAAGGGACCCTGTTTTTTGCAGAAAAATACTCCAGAGAAATAAGTTCATGAAGTGCAGAGCAGTTTTAGTCCTGGGGAAACTCACAGAGTGTTTCTTCTCTCTCATACCAACTTTTGGGAAAGTGTTATGGAGGAGATAGTAGCTAGCCTAAGCAATAAAATGGACAAATTTAGGAGAAGGAAGGGTGTTACAAAAACCAAAGACAATGATGGACTTCTTGCTTTATTTCTTTACATCTTACATTTAAGCACGATGTTAATTATGAGAACCAGACAAATTTAACATAGACTTGGTCTGTAGATTTATTTCCAATAATTTATTTTTATTTTTTTTAAGATTTTATTTGAGAGAGAACGAATGAGAGAGAGAGCACATGAGGGGGGGGAGAGTCAGAGGGAGAAGCAGACTCCCTGCAGAGCAGGGAGCCCGATGCGGGACTCGATCCCTGGGACTCCAGGATCATGACCTGAGCCGAAGGCAGTCGCTTAACCAACCAAGCCACCCAGGCGCCCTTATTTCCAATAATTTAAATAGCAAGAGAAAGAGCTCCATAGTTAGTTGGTAGATTGAAAGTAATGTTATAAAAATAACCTTTATTTTTCTCATCGCAGATGTTAAACATGTTCACCATAGAAATTTTGGAAAAGAGGAGCATATAAAGAAAGTAAGAATCCACTCTTATCCCTTCACCTTGGGAGAACCATTGGTAACTGTGTAGTGTATAGCTCTGCATAATTTTTTCAATGTATATAAACATATTACCTCACAAAATTGGGATTAGATTTTAAATACCTAAACTATAAAGAAAATAGCATCTTTGTTTTTTGTGTGTGAGGATGTTTAGTGATTATCTAAAATTTCTGAACTCTGAGGGTCATTCAGAATTCCACATAGATACATACTGGTCTAATTGCCCAGAGTTCTAAAGGGTTCTAAAGGCAGCCCTCCCATCCAAGTACTAACCAGACTACCCTCATGCAGCTGTCCATAAAAGATAAATGGGAGGGGCGGCCCGGGTGGCTCAGTTGGTTAAGCATCAAACTCTCAATTTTGGCTCAGGTCCTGGTCTCAGGATCGTGAGATCGAGCTCCACGTTGAGCTCCTCGCTCAGTTCGAAGTCTGCTTGAGATTCTCTCTCTTCCTCTCCCTCTGCCCCCCCTTAAAAAAAAAAAGATAAGTGGGAAATACGTCAGAGGTCAATTTAAGGGCTCCTTCTTTTATAGAAGAAAAAACTTTTAGTTAATGCTTTATCCAACAGTGAAGACTTTTGTCAGTGGGACTATAAGCTCAGGAATCTTGTTTTATCTCCTTAATCCTTGCACACGCCTGGTATATAATATGTACCGAACTATTGAAGTATTTGTTGAGTAGAGAAATAAACCAGAGTTAAATCTAATAATCTGGCTGGTGAACCAATCATAATACTGAAGCACTGAGCAGTTTCAAGAAGGAATATTACCATAAGGTAAAAATCTTAGCACGAGTTATCTTCATTACAACCGTGATGGGACTTTGAAGAGCATTAAGTACATTGCCTAGGTTTTTGACAATAGGTGTGTTTCCTTTCTACTTCATATAAGTGTTATATCTCCAGGTATGCAGAATAGATGTCTGATATTAGGTATACAGGGGTGGCTGTTTTAACCACTCACCACCAATTTAAAACAAATACATTTTGGGAGGCCAGTGTATTGCTCTTTGAGTTAATTCTTTCTGACCATTCTTTCCTATTCCATTACTTTTATCCCTTCCTGCTGGATTAATTCATTCTTTCAACAAATAACTATTGAGTGCCTACTAGATGCCAGGCACTACTCCGCATGCTGGAGATACAGTGGGGAACTAGATCTCGAAAATTCTCTGCCTTCATGGAGGGGAAACACACAATAAAAAAATAAATGTATCATAATGAGTTCAGGTATTGATAAGCACTATGAAGAAAATAAAACCAGAGCACAATGGAAGAGAGTGGTCCTCCTCCCCTTTAGCGCAGCCCTAGATCAGGCAGGTGCACTTGGCAGGCCCAGGGAACGCAGCGCGCCTCCGGCCCGGCCCATTAAATGGGCCGTGGCACCTAATGCTAGACTTTTCCGGAATAACACCGTCTATGCCGAAGGGCTTTCTGGTCAAAGCCGCCATGTGGTGACAAGCACATAGAGCAGAGAAGACCATATCCTTACGCTGTAGATTACATAAAACTCTGCCTACTTCTTTGAAGATGTTGAACTCATCAGAAGATATTAGCTATCACTAAAGGTTGTATGTAAAGTACATTATCAGCCAAATTAGAGGGTGGGTGTCCATGGTGGGTTGTAACAAATGTGTTGCATGGATTAGAAAATGATCACAATGGGAAAGATGCAAAGTATGCTGTATTTGTTTATGTTGTTCATATTAAAATCAAACTCAGAGACCAGATTTGAAAACTCCCTGAGTGGACAAAACCAGTTTAGTCTTTTTTTTTTTTTTTTTTTTTTTTTAAAGATTTTACTTATTCACTTGAGAGAGAGAGAGAGAGCATAAGCCAGTGGGGAGAGGCAGAGGAGAAGCAGACTCCCAGAGTGGGGAGTCCGACACGGGGCTCGATCCCAGAACCCCAGGACTATGACCCAAAGGCAGATGCTTAACCGACTGAGCCACCTACATGCCCCAAACCAGGTTAGTCTTACAATTTAGCTTATTTTGCAAGACAAGGCTAACTTGATCCGGGTACTTCCTGCTTAGGCCTCTGAAAATCATAAGCAAGACTTAAATTGTTTTCCCAAAATTGATATGAGGTGATCTCTAACCAATTCCCTTCCATTTAAGAGAATTCCAGTATTGTAAGCAATCACTGTGAAGAATACACAGTCCCTGCATCTGCACTGTGTAAGCTGTTGCCTAACATATACCTTGAGCTTCATTCTGTGTTTTTGTCTGAGTGCTCTTGGTTTGCAAACGATCTTTTTGATGTGTGCACAATAAACTTTTACTGATTCATTGGTTTTACTTCTGTTTTTTTCTGAACTTTTGACAGCTTCTCTTTTAAATTCTTTCCACATAGACAGATTGCCTTTTGTAGGGCCCTGAGTTTTATTCAGTTGTGTAAACTCTGGGGCTCACCTCTGAAGTAAAAAAAGATTATCAATAATAAATGTAGAACCAAGGATTTAAAAATATTTCAGCATACAACACGTTGCTTCCAGAGTAGGTCTGCTGTATTATTCCAGCCCTAGTGAGTAATTAATGCCTTGAACTATTCCAATCACCACGGGTTGCCAGGCCACCAAATAACGAAGCCAATCAAGGATTTGTCCATACAGAAAGTGTGTGCGCTCCCAGCTAAATCTCAGTTAAGGAGGTTGCTCTCTATGCAGTCAAGTAGCAGAAATATTCAATCTCATTTGCAAATATAATAAGCAATGCAATGAGTGGTTATTTCCTTTCTTGTTAATTCTATGTGCTCATTTAAAAGCCCCTTCTGTAATTTTTATAGCATTTGGTTATCATTGTTATTTACACTACACCGAATTTCCAAAAGTAAATCAAAACAGTTTACAATAAAATCCCAGACTATGAAACAAGAACTAAAAGTGAGGGTCACTACTAAAAGAGTGGGAAAGGGGAAATGGCTACACTGGAAAACCAAGGATCATGGAAGCTTTTGTAAGTGAGCCAAGACAGCCTTGGGCTTTCCTGTGATTGGCTCATCAGCGGGAGTGCATTGTGTATTACAAAGAAAAACATCACAGATAAGATATACTTTTTCCTGATTTCACTGATAAATTGTGCTAAGGGGACATAATACATAATATCTCTGATAGCAATGTTATATACATAAAGGCAAATATTCCCCAAGTAGCTTTTTTTTACTGAGTCTCAATAAAAAGAGCACATGTAATACTGAAAAGTTTATTCTCTCAAGACTATATAGAGTAACCCATTGTCCTTCGTTATGTACATGATCGTTTACGGTGACATTCAGGATTATATTATCATCAGTTTTATAACAACAATGCATATATTTTCGCTTCATAAGGTATTAACCAAAAGTGGTTCTGGGCTCGGTCTCCTATTAGAAGGGAACTTCAGGGAGAGTGCATGAAAAGGAGGGAGGGAGAAGCATCACACATCCATCATTAGCCGTTAGGGGTGGTTGTGCTTGAGTTGCACTGACTCCCTGAGAAAGCTCAGGCCTGCACATGGAGCTGGGGGCCGCAGAGGGGCTCTCTGTTGCCGCCCCCTAAGACACAGAGACCCATGGTGCTGCTTCCACGGCTGCCCTAAGGGCCAATCTTTCCTTGATCTGCAGTTCTCAGGGATGGGGGCACTGCTGCCAACAGCCATGGTTACACCTGTATATTTAGGGTTGGTGAAGAGTAGGGGGAGCAGGGAACAAGGGAGGTATCTCCTTTAGCACTGTAAAATGTAGCTGACCGGTATGCAGAATGAATAGAAAGGCTGGCTGTCTCTTAGGAGAAGAGAGAGTACTTGGTAGGTTGACGCCAACCTCTCAATGTTTTCTGCATGAGGTTGGGATATGTTTTAATCCCATTTACTAACCGCGCCCCCCCCCCCCCCCCCCCAAGAGATATATTATGGTCTTGGGCCAGTGGGGTTGAGGACTAAGTCTTTGTTAATCAGCTCTGGATGGGGCCATTGAGGCTTCCTGTGGCCTCAGTTGGAGAACATTGGTGTCTATTAAAATCCTGATTGTTGCCATAAGCTGTCTGTAGGTCCTCATTTTCTTTCACTATTATTATCCCTAGGGTGTAACCCAAGACAAGATGAGGCATGCCAAGGAATTTAAAAGGCCAAAATACAGGGGGTAAAAAAATCCTCTCTCTGGAAATAATAAAAGTTAGTACACCTTAAAAATTTTTTTCTCTACCCTAGTTCACATTTGGGGCTTTTAAAATTTCAATTCCAGGGGCACCTGGGTGGCTCAGTTGATTAAGCATCTGTCTTTGGCTCAGGTCATGACCTGGGGGTCCTGGGATCGAGCCCTACCTCGAGCTCCCTGCTCAGCAGGGAGTTTGCTTCTCCCTCTCCCTCTGCTGCTCCCCCTTCAAACCTCCTCTATGCTTGCTCCCTCACAAATAAATAAATAAATAAATAAATAAATAAATAAATAAATATCTTTTTAAAAATTTCATTTCTATTCTAGTCTATATGTTTGTCTACCCACCCACTCATCCCATCCATCCGTCTGTCTGCCTGCGTACCTATCCATCCATCCATCCATCCATCCATCCATCCATCCATCATCTATTTATAGATCCATCATCCATCTATCTGATCCTGCCATATATTTATCTATCTCTTGCAACATCCCATCACATTTCCACTAAAGCGCTTATAGTGGAATATATGGAATATGAAGAGTAGAATGTATCTTCTTTGGCATTTAAGTTCCTAGCCAGAGTAGTAACATGGGCCCAGGGGAGAAGAGACCAGGAAGTCGTTTTGAAATAAATGGCTAGGGAAAACAAATATTTCTGCTAAAACTGTAATGAAGAAAATGAAAATACAGATTGAAGAATGCATTACCAGGAACATTTAAGATAATACTTCAAACCTTTTTTAAAAAAAGGATACGGGTTACTGATCATCCTCTTCAAATCAACCTTCTCTTTGCAGTAAGGGCAAGTCTGCTTTTTACCAACTATACACCAACCTCGGATGCAGAATTCGTGAAAGCTTAGGCATCTTGTTAGGGAAGTTTCTAGATATTAAAGGGCAAGGTCTGCTTCATGATGGCATAATGGAAATGACCCCATCTGTAGGGAGGAAGTCGAGGGTGAGAATGGCTGTCAGTCATGACTTGATTGTGCACATCACTATCTAAGGAAGATTCTGCAGGACGATGGAATCCCCAGGGACTGGGAGCTTGCAGTCAGAGCTGCCATAGCTTTAGGACCCTGAGGAGTCTATACAGCTTCTTGGCTTTACTTGTTCTTCTTGCTTCACTTGATCCTCCCAAGATTTAAAAGTAGATAAAGAATATGAAAGTGTTTTACAGTAATATTTTATGTAAATGTATCATGGCATTTCTCTGCCTCGCTGATTGTGCTCTTCTTATGCGTTCACCAGAGCATTTCCACGTTCTACTTTCTGTGCATTATTCATTACCTACTATGTAAACAGACTTGTCCTAGGCACTTAGACAGGCTTCACTTATTTGTAGTCATAAACCACAAACTTAACGGATATTTCTGTTAGCTTCATAAGTCCTATCTCAAGTTTTTTTTTATTACTGGTAAGGAGTCACACTTACTTTTAATAGACTATAAACCTAATAAAATTCTGAAACTCTAGGCATTTACAGATTCATTTGTATATCTCGCCTTGTCTGCAGAGTTTGACCCTTTGCCCCTAAAGTGGAGAGCACATCTCATGTTTTCCCACAGCAGCAGGGGAATGCTCCTATTAGAGCTCATATCACATTGTATCATGATATTCCATGCACATACACGTCTCTTCTGGACCACCGGCTACCTGTGGGACCATGTCTCATTCTTTTCTGTCCTCAACACCTTAAGCAGTGCCTAAGGGCCTATTTATTAAATATTTGAATGAATCACTCAAAACCAATTACTTTTGCAAATATATTTTCTCGGGTTCCACAACATTGTAGATTTGAGCAAAGTGATTAACAGTAATGAGATCCATCCTATTGATCCATCCTACTGGTTTATTTATTTCTACAGTTGTTGATCCCAATGTGGCTTTCTGGATCCAGATCACATGATTTTTCTGACTAGCTTGCTGTCACCCATGTGAACAGCAATGATGAAGTCTCCTCCCTAACAAATGGAGGACTGTGAAATGTAGACAAGTCAAAGCCATGTATATAAGTCCTCAATATAGATCTGTCTGCAACTAAGAGTTTCCACTGTTTTATGTTCTTGGAATTGGGTCATTTTTGCAATAGGCTTGAATGAACATAGAGGGGTGTATTATAGCAAAGATTTTAAACCCAAAGCCCTTACAGCCCTTTATTCAAAAGGGCTGGAGTACTGTGCTCGCTTCGGCAGCACATATACTAAAAGGGCTGGAGTACAGCCCCATCTTCTAGACAGGTAGAGAGGTCAGGGGTCATGGAGACAGCATTGAAATGTCCACCTCCTCTTTAATATTCTCTGTCTCATCTTCAAAATCTCGATGCTGAAAAGTCTCCAAGCTAGCAGAATTGCTGCAGAGCAATATTCAGATTCCTTCCCCTGCCCCACCTTGTTAATATGAGTCATGTTTTCCCACTCCTTGCTCATATGACTCATGCTAAAGTGGGCCATTAATAATACTCCCTGCAAAGCAAATTTAAGGGTGACTACATTTTAGATTACATACGCACACATGTACAACAATCCCTAAGCGCTTTTAAAGGTGGAGAGAGAAAATATTTCCACTTGCAAATGGCAAAAGGGGCACTGGTCCAACATTTGAAAAGTAAATCACGTTTAAAACTAGGACCAGATTTGGAAAATTTCTTCCAAAGAAGGATAGTTTTTTGGGAAAGGTATCACACTGAAAAACCACCATAGAATTCCATGTGGGATATCTTTGTGTTTCTTATCTTAAAATAGTAAGGCTTAAATGTTGGAGTAAGGGGTCCTATTACATTTCAGATGCATTCAGTCCATTTTTTACCTCTCAAGATTGAATAAATGCAATCTGTCCAGATTAAATCATAGGCACTGCATGTCTAGAGTATTACTGAGTTAGGTGGGCTTCAGAGGCGAAAGACAGGTGGCTTAACAACCTCATAATGCCAGAACTTTGAACTGAGTGTAGAGCAACATTATCAAATTGATATTGGCTATAAAATAAAGATAAACGACACCTTCTTTCCCCTGTATTTACAAAAGAATTAAAATACTGATTGTCCGCCAACCCAAACACGACTTTGGTCTCCAGAATTATATGCTGGGGCAGCATGGGCTGCTTGGCTTGGGGCTCATGATCCCAGTATCTTTCCACATATTAAGGTCTTCCTCCATAGTTACTGGAATTCCCAAAGAATGCTAGTTTCCAGGCCCAGGCTTGTCTGGTTCCTAACACCTAAAGATCCATCAGCCATTTGGGGCAGAACTCACAGGCAGAGGAGCCAGATGGTCCAAGAACTGGGTGCTCAAGATTTGGGCCCTCCTTCTGTAATCAAAGGTATCCTGCTGCCTATGGCATTGTCCTCTTTCCAAGACCAAAGCTGATACTTGGCTGCCGCCACTACCACTGTGGACACAAGCACGTTCCCAGGATTATTTCCGGGCACAATCTGCTGTGTTCAGTCCTGTGAGATTCAGACCCAGGCTCCACTTGGAGAGTCCTGAGTTCCTCCCTGCACCCGAAAATCCACTTTTTCTCACCCCCAAACCCTTCTCTCCCTGGTTCTTCTTGGCTATCTGTTCACTTACGGCTTTGCTAACTTTCCCAGCCAGAGTCTCGGGCACACGCTACGGCTTTTCTAGTCCATATGGCTTTAAGATTCGGTTTTAAAAAGGCAATTACTAGCAGAAGAGTAGCAGTTCATTATTCGGCAGGGATTATCAGAAAGTCTCAACAAGAGTGATGGCGGAGGATCAAGGCCTGGGGTTTGGGGGATAGGAGCTAGCTCAGCAAGGCAGAGGAGATGCTGAGGGGGGAGGAGGAGAAGGAGGAGGGGGAAAGGGTGAGTTACCAACTCCCGTGATCAACACAGAGTATATGAAATTGCCTCTCATCACTGGCTTGATGAAGCCCGTATGGCTTCCTGTGAAAAGGATACACATGATTGCATGAGAGCTGGTAGGTGTTCTCAGTGAGCCCTTCTTCATCGAGCTGCACAATGATCTGCCCACAGACGGCACAGACGTTGTCTGACAAGCTCCTCGTGGGCATCCCACTGATGCTGTAGAACTGTCGGGGAAACACACACAGAGCACTGTTGGAAAAGAAGGCACATACCATTCCTTCTCTGAACACAGGGAAGCCACTGAGTCTGTACTGCTTCTTCCTTGGTTTAGAACTTGAAACACTCTTCTCCATAGGAATGCTTCAGTGGGGTCAGGGTCTCCAGGCAAGAACCCACTGAACCCCACATGGACCCAAAGCACATGGCTAACTACGACCTCTAATTTAACCTCCCCAATGAAGAATCCTTCAAGGGGAAAAGTCTTTTATCCAGGGCTGTAGTTCAGAGTTTTTTAAGGAAGCTTTTTAAGCTTACCTATAGCCTGACCCTTTCTCTTATTTTAGAGATTGGTGCACAGGTCTGGAGTAAGCTGAGGCATCGCTATGTTTTTTAATTCCCATGTGATGAGAAGGAGCACGCAGACTAACCCCACTGGGTGCAATGCTTTTAGAATTCTAACTTGGGATACCTGCATCTTTCTAGCACTGAGGATGAAGAATGATTCCAATATTGGCAGCACATCAGAATCCCTAAGAAGCTTGTTTTTTAAGATTCTTTATTTATTTGAGAGAGAGAGAGCACAAACAGGAAGAGCAGAGGGAGAGGGAGAAGCAGACTCCCTGCCAAGCAGGGAGCCCAACGTGGGGCTGGATCCCAGGACCCTGAGACCATGACCTAAGCCGAAGGCAGACGCTTAACCCACTGAGCCACCCAGGCGGCCCTAGAATCCCTAAGAAGCTTTTTTTAAAAAAAATAAATATTCATTGAATAATTGTTTTAGACTTAAAGAAAAGCTATGAAGATAGTGCAAGCCCCCATATACCATATACCCCATGTCCCCTATTATTAACATCTTACATTAGTATGGTAACTTCGTCACAATCAATGAACCAACAATGACACTTACTATGAAATAAAGTACATACTTTATACATACTTTATTCAGATTACTTAGGTTTTTTTTTTTTTTTTTTTAAGTCTAATGTCCTTATTCTGTTCCAGAATCTCATCTAGGATACCACGTAGGCTCCTCTTGACTATGGTGGCTTCTCAGACTTTGCTTTTTTTCAATGACTTTGACAGTTTGGGGGAGTATTCTGTGGAATGTCCCTCAATTGGAATTTAGCTGGTGTCTTTCTCTTGATGATACTGAGGTTATGGGTTTTAGGGAGGAAGATAACAGAGGTGACATTCTTACCACACCATAGTGAAGGTACATGCTATCAATATGACTTATCACTGTTGTTATTAACCTTGATTACCAGGCTTGTGGCAGTGTCTGTCAGGTTTCTCCACTATAAAGCTACTTTTTCTTTCTTTTTTTTTTTAAGATTTATTTTTTTATTTGAGAGAGAGAGAGCGCGCGCACACACAGCAGGAGAGGGGGAGGGAGAAGCAGAATCCCTGCTGAGCAGGGAGCCCGACACGGAGCTCTATCACCCGACACGGAGCTCTATCGCCCGACACGGAGCTCTATCGCCCGACACGGAGCTCTATCGCCCGACACGGAGCTCTATCAACAGGGGGCTCAATCCTAGGACCCTGGGATCAGGACCTGAGCAGAAGGCAGACACTCAACAGACTGAGCCACCCAGGTGCCCCAAAGCTACTCTTTCTTTTATTCCTTCTTTTCTGTACTCTTTGGAAGGAAATCACCATGAGCAGCCCATTCATAAGGAGAGGGCCATTATGCTCTCAGTGTCAGTGAGGTTTTTCCAGAGAAAAGGACCTGATAGCGCGCGCGCGTGTGTGTGTGTGTGTTTGTATCTAGACTAGTGTTTGGGTGTTTGATCAAACAGTTGAACACCTTAGCCTACCCAAGTTGACACAAAAACCTTAACCATACAACCATCTTAAGGTTGGAGTACCTACATAAATTATGTGGAATTCTTCTGCGTAGGAGATTTGTCTGTTCTCCTCCATTCATTCATTCATTCATTCACTCATTCATTCATATCAATACGGACTCATGATAATTTATTTTAGACTTGGGGTTATAAGCCAATGCTGCTGCAGCTTCTACTGCTATTACTACTACTCTTTTGTTGCACGGATCGTTCCAGCTTTGGCCATTGGCAGCTTTTTCAGTTGGCTTCTGTATCTTTTTGAATAACCCTCATCACTGTGGTATTTTTTTGTCTGGTTGGTTTTTCAAGCACTTCCTTCACTTCTGGCAATACAAGATACTCCAGGCGCATTTGTATGTTCCTTGCCAAGACCTAGAGTCAACCATTTCTCCAAGGAGCCCTGGTTCCTTTTATTGTAGAATGGTATTAGAAAAGATCTGGGCACAAGGTGTGCTCCTTGCTACAGGGGTTATGTATTTTTTTAAGGAGTATGACTTCTGGCTTTTGCTGGAGGAAGTAGGAGTGGAAATGTTCCCTCCTGTGCTCACCATAAACATTATAAAAAAGGCAGTTGTCCCATAGATGACGCATGGCAGAGGAATTCCAAAAAATAGCTTGTTCTAGCATTTCACCACAGAAGTGGATTCCAGGCTACAGAAAAAGAGTAAGATAGAGCCTACATAAATGGAGAAGGGCAGATGGGATGGGGATGAAGTTAGGGTCATGTCTACTTAGTCTTGCCCCATAAATGGAGAGAGAGAACAGTCCTGAATTATACTCTTCCCTTGCCACTCGCACTAACTTTTCCATTTCATATCTGCTGTGTACCAAGAGACCAGTAGAGGGCAGAGACATGGAATTCTTGACACCACCGGATCATCCCTGGAGCCCCTGTGAGTTTTAGAGATGCGCATGTGTCAGGAGTAGATGAATGCTTCTAATATCTGAATCTGGAATCCATCTAGCCAGAAAGTATGTCTATTTGGAGTTTACTCTTAAGAGAGGTTTTTAAAAAGCTATTAGGGGTATTTTTTAAATTTTATACAGTCAGAATACATTTGGCACAGTTTTTGTATCTTCTACTTCTAATGTATAATGTATAATGATAACTGATCTTTATGAGGAGTAACCCTGAGGCACTGATGGAGTCCAAAGTACTTTATGTGCATCAAATATGACTTTCTGTGTTAGGCAGATAGAAAAGGTTTTTATTACTATTAAAATTTTCCTAATCCTTTCCTTTGTTTTTTTTTTAGAGAGATGGGGGCGGGGCAGAGGGAGAGGGAGAGAGAGAATCTAAAGCAGGCTCCATGGCCAGCACGGAGTCCAACGTGGGACCCGATCTCACAACCCTGAGATCATGACCTGAGCTGAAATCAAGAGTTGGACACTTAACCGACTGAGCCACCCAGGCGCCCCTACTAATCCTTTCAATGTTGGCAATTGGAGTATGCTAGATATGGTTGCTTCCAATAATTATTTTATTTAAAAAGAGGTCTTTGGGGGCACCTGGCTGGCCCAGTCAGTAGAGCATGTGACTCTTGACCTCAGGGTCGTGCGTTTGAGCCCCCTGGTGGTGTAGAGATGACTTAAACATAAATAAATAAAAAGATGAGATGCCTTATTTCCCAACCACTTTATATATATAAGAAGTATATTTTTTAATCAATTAGCAAAGATAATTTTTGATGCAAGGAGAATCAGGGAGCAGCTGGCCTGGGAGAACCAAAAAAGATTGATGTATTTCTGAAAACGGATGCAAACATGTAAAATGAGACCATTTCTCTGTGTGCTGTAGTGGTTTCAGAGAATGAAAGCAACACTCACCCCTATCGTAGAGGCCATGTAATCCGAACAGATCTCTGCAAAGTCTCTCCCCATTACACCATAGTAGAGGCCATAGAACAAGGATACGATGCCAAAATCCATGGAATCTCTAGCCTTGATTCTATTGAAAACGACAGTGTAAGGTAAAATAAGAACGTGGCAGTTGGGGGGCTTGGGAAGGGCTGCAGCTTAGAGGACATTTCCTGCCAGGGTATCTAACAGAAATTTGATTACTTGATTTTTAAAAATTTTTTTAGAAGAATTTTAAATTCTCTAAATTCCCCTCAGATTTTACTACTCGGTGGCAAGTGGACAAAGTAATTCTTGAGAGGGTCTTCTAACTAGCGGTTCTCAAGCTGGGCTGTGCAAAGAAAGGCCTGGGCAGCTTATAAAACTGTACCCCCTGAACCCCAGACCAACGACATCAGACTCTCTGGGGGTGAAGCCTGGGCAGCAATATTTTTGGAAGCTCTCCAGAGCCAGGTGATTCCAGTGGGCAGCTAACCTTAAGAACCTCTTTAATAGAGCAGTGGTTCTCAGCCTTCAATGTAGATTAGAATCACCTGGGGGAGATTTAAGACTGCTGATCAGGAGCTGAACTGTAAGTGGCCTGGGGTGGGGTCTGCAGAGCAGTGGTTTTTAGAAGCTCCTCAGGTTGGGAATCCCTGCTATCAAACTTAGATTTTACAGAAGGCTTTCAAATACTTTACTTCCCTAACAAATGCTGGAGGTAGATAGGATTATCCCCACTTTGCATTTGAAAAAATGGAGATTTAGAAGAAATGATTTGCTTAACATGACAATTGGTACTAGGGCTCAAGCTCCAATTTTGAGGCCCTTGGCTACTGTGCCGTAGTTGCCATGTATTAATCAGAAAAAAAATTTTGCAAGTTGGATCATATTTCAAATATAATAGGATTCTCTATGATAACCCCCACCCCATTTTTTAAAAAAGATTTTATTTATTTATTAGAGAGAGAGAGAGAGAGCACAAGCAGGGGAGGGGCCGAGGGAGAGGGAGAAGCAGGCTCCCCGCTGAGCAGGGAGCCTGGGATCATGACCTGTGCTGAAGGCAGACGCTTAACCCACTGAGCCACCCAGGCGCCCCCACCCCACCCCCATTTTTAAGGGAAATATTTCTTTAAGAAGTGAACAACCAGGGGCGCCTGGGTGGCTCAGTCGTTAAGCATCTGCCTTTGGCTCAGGTCGTGATCCCAGGGTCCTGGGATCGAGCCCCGCATCGCGCTCCCTGCTCAGCGGGGAGTCTGCTTCTCCCTCTCCCACTCCCCCTGCTTGTGCTCTCTCCCTCTGTCAAAAAAAAAAAAAAAGAACAATCAGCCCCTAACGTAATTAGCTCCTAATTTAATGAATCTTAATCATTGTACATATGGTTTGTTATATCTGTCAACAGTTTCAAATATTAGCTCTGCGCCTGGGTAGATCTAATTGCGTCAGGCAGCAAGTGAGAAGTGGAGGGGAGCTGGGTAGTCTGTCTCCGGAAACCTTTTCTGGTTGTTCTGTGCTCTGTTAATTTGTGGAGGAAACGGTAAAGGCAGAGAGCTTTGTAGACTTCGAGGTACAGATCTTTTGGTGATGTGAATTGGGAATTCTAACACAAATGATGGCTTTATTCCCTCAAGATTTGCCTGAGTATATTTGAGAACTGGGGCAATGGGGAGGAATGAAGATTATCTTCTCTTCATGTTCAGGGGAGGATGTATTATAATCTAACTGATAAAAAGTATAGTGACAGATTTGTGGTTCCACAAAAAGAATCTTAAAACAGTGATAGTCAATAACACTAAGGAGTGAAAAAATAGTTCCTTCCCAGCCTGAAGGGTTAAGTTCTTGGTGTGCCTCATTGTAGGAGAAGTCATAGCTAAGGATCTTACAATCTTATGGAAAATAGTCTTGGGACAACTATAGGCTCAGTGATTTCCTAAAATCCTTATGAATATTTTTACAGTCACTAAAACAAAGTTATATAGATGGTATGCTGAAAAAGGAAATCAGTGTCTTTCCATACACAAAATAATATAGAAATCATAGATCGGTACAATTACTTTCTATCCCTTTCCTGCTAGAAAATGGTGGGAGCTCCTGCTCTGAAAGTGACATGAAATGCTTATAAAATCAGTGATGTTGCCATAGGAAGAGTCCTTCCCCTCAGGGCTGACACTCCATCCAATTTCCTTCCCTATTTTAGGAGTTAAGGGTCGCCGATCTCTGCCTTTCAATTTCTGTTAAGGTCCCAGAGACTTAGAGGAACTTCGATGTGAGAGAGATTCTGGGGAGTTTTTTATTTGAGCTGCTTCCCACAGCTGTGTGGTAGGTCGTAAATTCCCTTTCCAGACCACAGGTTGATCGCACGGCCATGGCTCTGCCCATGAGAACCTTCATCCACAGCACATCTCAGCAATCGTCCTTCCGGTGGGAGCTCTGTTCTGAGTTACAATTATCCTGATTTCCTTGACTGCTCCCAAGACTTTCTTGCTGTTATCTCCTTACCTCTCACTCAAGTTCTAAGCACTTAGTTTTGTCCTTTTCTGACTATCCTCAGGAAAAGGGATTTCATGGATACCAGAAACAAAATTCTAGAGCAGTGCTGTCCATGGCAATACAGAAATACAGATTAAAAATTTCCTAGGGGGCGCCTGGGTGGCTCAGTTGGTTAAGCGTCTGCCTTCCGCTCAGGTCACGATCCCAGGGTCCTGGGATGGAGCCCCGCATTGGGCTCCCTGCTTGGGGATCCTGCTTCTCCCTGGCCTTCTGCCTACCGCTCTGCCTATTTGTGCTGTTTCTCTGTCAAATAAATAAATAAAATAAAAAAGTCTCCTAGTAGCCACATTAAAAAGAAACAGGAAATAATTTCACCGATACACCCCACTGTAGTTCAACATGTAGTCAATATAAAAATTATTTTTTCATACTTTGAAATCTAGTGTGTACTTTCTAGTTGCAAAACACTTTACTTCGTATTTCAGGTGCTCAATAGTCACATGATCTATCATATATTGCACTGGACAGCATAGTTCTAGAGGTTTTAAGAAAGAAGATATATACAAGGAAATGACACTTCAGAATTTTATGGAGGGGAAATTTGTAGTTCAGTAAGAATTACTCTACCACAAATGTAAGCCTAATTTTAATGGCGATCTTTAAAATTTGCCATAGTACAGATTTTCTTTAAAGCTTCTAAACTGTGAAAATTTTTTATTCTCTAGGGTTTCCTCTTATACTTTTCTGGTTGTTTCCACCAATGACATTTACTCTACCAATGATATCTACTATAAACAATGTGGGCATGGAACATCATAGGGCCAAATGCTTCCAGATGCAGAGAGTGCGGCCAGGCTAATGTGGCACACAAGTGCTTGGAGATATTAAGGTCTTAATTGGAGATACTTACCTGAAAAATAAATTGAATCCACACATTGTAAACATGATAGCCAAATAACCCACAACACCAAATGCATAGCTGAGTTTGTAGATTAGAAGAAACCATTTGTAGACCAATCTGTGGAGTGTAAAATGGGGAGAAATACAGAACATGATATATTATGAAGTATTTTATCTTCCTCAAACATTTTTGTAAGTCAGTTTTTAATTTCTAGAATTCTATTTTTCATGTAATATACACAAGTAGTTTATATCAGCTAAACTCAGTAATAATCTACAGTTTTAATCCATCAACAAACTATATAAATAGTATGCACACGCATATACAAATTCATTGTAACATCTATGTTCCTCATGTAAGAGTGATCTTCAGGGATGGTTTCTCTATCTGGTACCCTGCCTCCCCATCTCTTTTTTGGCCCTAGGGTTAGCTTAGAGTGGCTTTGGCAGGAGTAGCTTGAAGGTAAGCAAAAGATGAGCAGAGAAGTCAGGAGGAGGTGACCTCCTCCCCCAGGAGTTTCTCCCCCTTCCGGCTCCTGCTGCCCCTCCACCCTCAAGCCCCAGGGCAGATGTCATTAGTAGTGAGCTCAGCCTCATCCCAAGTCCTCTCCACTCACAGAGCTCCTCCCCTAGCCCTAGGATGGATTCACGAGTGAGCCTCAGGTTGGTTTTCTCCTGCTATGTGGACGGGTCTTCTGCGTATCCCAGCAGGTACCATGACCACTGTTAATGCCTTTCCTTCTTCCCACGGGGTTGAAATGGAGAAGTGGGAGATTGGGGATAGAGAGGAAGGGTATAGACGATCTAGAAGGGAGCCCCATACCCTGTTTGTTTCCCTTATCCCTGTCAGTAAAAGCCCTTAGAAAAACTACAGAAGGGCCCGTGTGGCTGCTTCATGCCTGGGAGGATGTGGGAAGAGGTGGGCAGCCCAGACCCACTGGGCATGTGCCACAGGGCAAGGTTCTGCCCACTGGAACAAGAGGAGGTGGTAGAAGGGGAAGGAGCAGCTGGGTGCTGTCCTTGGCGCCCAGAGAAAAGAAGGGGGTGGCTGGACTGTTACTCCCAAGCAGGAGGCCTTGTTTGTCTCTCAGCTCTTTCCCTCTGGTTCTCAGAAGCCCCTGTTCCTGCCTTTCACAACGCTCTTCACTCAGAATCGCACTCCAGAGACTACCACACCTTCTCACCTCCCACCTCTGGAGCCCTGCCTCCAACTCTCTCAGCTCTCCTAGCTTCCTCCCTGTTGGAGCCATTGCTCCAAATGCTTACGTTCTATGATATTACTGATGCAATGTTTCGAGGTTATTTTAAAAGATGCCCTCCTTCATTGAATTCCAGTCCGGAAGGGACCTTCTGAAACATGATGCTTTACATGGGAGTTGGTGGGCTGGCTTGAGACACGAGTTGTCATTCACATCATTTCTACGGGTGAAAGGCTTCCCCACTTCAGGCAAGTGGCTAGCAGGGCTATGTGGGCCATGCCTCCACCTCTCCTGCAGGTGTAATCCCGCTCCGCGGGAGGGGTCCGCCCAGGGGAGTTCCGTGGAGCCGGAAACTCGGAAACTCGCAGACACTGCACAAGGTGGGTCAAGTCGCTCTGAGCCCTTTGTCACCTCTAAAAGGGGCCAGAGAGGGTTCTTGGGGGGGGTCTTTCTGCCACAGTGACTCCTTGGGCTGCCAATCCTTTTGATTTGCCAGTGCCTAGCAGTTTGGATCACTGCTTAGTGCAGCCTGGTGGAGGAGGAAGTTTATGTTGCTAAAAGGGGTGACAGTGGGGAGAGCCGCCAGCTCTGAGAGGGCCTCCCTCTCTCCCCCCACAGCACCCGCCAACACCAGAGTGGGGGTCCTAGAACTCCACGCGTACTGCAACTCGACCTACCCTGTCTGTACCTTGAGGGGCCCCTCTCAAGGTTGTGCCAGCACCACAGGTGTTCCTGACTTTTTAAACTGCGGGTTTCTCTGTGCCAAGCGATTTGTTGACGTCGTGAAGGCACAGCATGATGTTGGGAGCAGGGGTTTTGCATTCTGGTAGTCTTTGGTATGATTCTGGGCTCCCCCTCCCCGTGACTGCCTGTGGGACACTGGCCACCCTAGTCTGGCCATTTTTTCCTACGATTGCCCCATTTATAAAGTGGAGGTGACAACACTAGCTCCTATGGTAGTTCCGAAGGTTGTGTGAGATGATGTATTCATGTGCAAAAGCCTCGGCACAGTTAATGCTCAATATGTCATATAATTATTACAGATGTGTTAGATTTTCCAAATCCCCGCCACCCCCAAATCTTCCTGCTTATTGGGGGTACACGTTTCTAGAACACTAGAGTCCAGAATCCCCTTGCTACTTAGATTACAACTGGAAGGCGGAGAAACCAGATTAGTGCTTTAGCCTCCTCAAAGGACAGCTTGGCCTGGAATTGATGTGGGCAAGCCAGGCTCTTTGTGGCTGGTTTGTGGCCTGTTTTTGAGCCTATGTGGTAGAGAGGAACCTCACTTCCCCTTCTCTGTTATTCTGACCCCACAGCGAGGGCTTGATATACTCTGGGGGAAGAACAGCCGGGTTTTAAACAACGTCCGTGCAGGGGACCCCTCCCCTTGGGTTTACCTTTGCACCACACTGATTTGCTCTGACCAGTTTTCCTAGCCTGTAATGAAATCCTGTTTCCAAATGGAAAATACCTAAGAAGTGACTTACCTATGATATGATGATTAAACAAAGATCCATAAAGATCTTTAGGACCTACTACCTCTCATAAACAAGACCTTCTTTATACAGACTGCTTTTCTAGAAGAAATGGGATCCTAATTAGCCTTTCCCATTGTTGTCTCTTCAAATGGTGGCTAGGTCTTTCCTTAAACATTAGTGGGGCATGTTGGCCCTCAGGCTCCGCCAGGGCTCAGAGCTTGCAGGCAGGAGAAGCTGAAGTGGGTGCACGATGGGCAAGGGCCCCTGGCCATCTGGGATAAATGAGGCGTGGTGTGTAACGAGGCATCATTTGCATATTCCTTGTCATGAAGTTCCTCTGCACTGAATGAGCTGAGATGCACAGAAATACTGTGTTTCCTGGGTGATTCATTTCTAAGTGGAGAAGTGAACTAGTCTCACTGAAATACAATATAGATTATATCCAGGGAATGAAACAAGTACATTTTGGTTCATCCAAAATTTGGATCACTTTCACAAGTCTTAAATAACTGACAACATTTTTTAAGAAGGAGAAAGTGTGCCATATGTCCATGTGCTGATGGGCAAGCCAGGCCATACCAAAGGCTGTCTAAAACCCCAAACTGGCCAGTTTGGGAGGTCTCCTAACACCACCCCAAAGCTCTTCCCAAAGTGGGATTAAATTAAAATATCAACCTGAATTTATTTGAATATCAATCTTTTTAAAAAATTACTTTTTTAAGCCATCTGTACATCCAGCATGGGGCTTGAACTCATGACCCTGAGATCAAGAGTCACATGCTCTTCCAGTTGAGCCAGCCAAAAGCCCTTTGAAGATTAATCTTTATCATTACATTTATTTATCTGATTTCTCACCGTATACTTTTTCTTCTCCAAAGTAGAAGGAAAAGTTGATATTTGTCTCTCCCACATTTTTAGAGGATTAAGAACAAACATCTGAATGGCTAAATACCCATAAAAACATTTCACAGGAGCTTATGATTTATTCTTCAACAAAGATCAAAATTTGACATTGTCCTATTACCATGTAACACTTTACACATTTTCTCTTTATCCTATTTCAATTTTATCTAGATTCAGCTTCAGATTTTATCTAGAGAACAAAGACAGTGAAAGCAAACGTAGGGGCACATTATGAGATTATAAGCACTTTGGAAAGATTTGTAGAAAATATGATGGAATTATAGAAATGTCAAGAGGTTGGCAATGGTAATTAAGATGACCATTGGAATATTAAAGCCTCATTTGTTATGAGAGGAATAAGTTGTCCATTGCTTATGATTTATCCGATAGAAAATACATAGTTGTTAGAAATACAAACATCTAACTCTTGCTCTATTATAAAATGTGTGTAACCCATTTGCTGGGTTACACAAAATGCTGAAAATAAATATGCAAATAGTGCTCTAGAAAGTTTAAATAATACTTTCACTTCTCTTTCTTCTGGCTTTCATCTGAAGTAGTAAATGTTATAGGTGTGTCTGAGTCTCCATTAAATAATGAACGTGAACTAACAGCAGTATAGCTAATCTCTAAATAGTTTTGCTACTGAAGGCAAAAGAAGTATAATGCCCTCCTTCCCCACCCGGGAAAATGGAATTAAAATATACTTCTTAGTGCTTACAATAAAGAGGATGTCAGGGAAGGGACGAATGGAATACATACCTTGGTGTTCTCCCTGAGAGCGGTTTTCGGGTAGCTTTGAAGAGGATGTAACTGGTAATAACGGAGAACATTCCCCACATAGACAGAAACCGCCACCAGTAAAGCTTTATCGTGAAATAGAGAGGGACAACCCACATCTGCAACAGTGTCACCAGCTGTCAGAAAAATGAACAGAAAGTCTCTTTCAATGACTGAGGGCCCAGAATGTGAAGTCCACTAGTAAATGATTCAGAAGCTACTCTGGGGAAACCACCTCTACCATACCGTCTATAGCATGGAACTAGCTCACCATCCAGCTATAAGCTCTTCTATACTTGCAAAGTTTTGGAGGGACTTGGTATGATCCTCTGAAAATTCAAATGGGAAAGAACCCAAAATATTTTTTTTTTTTTTTTTTTTTTTTACCTCTTTTTGCCTAGATATTTCAGATGAAAGCAACTCTGGGCTTCAAAAGCTAAGTGATTTTGGACAAATGAGCCTCACTTTTGTTGTAACATAGGGGATAACAATGCCTGCCCTGCTTGCCTGTGCTGACTCAGGTGGGGATCAAAACCATCACAGATGGGAAAGTGCTCTGGAAACAGTATGTAATACAGGGAGCCAAGCGGCTGTTTTTTCTATCATGGGCACATGTACAAATGCACAGTGATGTCAAAGGAGGAAGTGACGTCACAGCAGCTTCTGGGACCTCTTTTGCCTGCTACCCCAGTGCATCCTGCAGGGTTAACCTTGGAGTCCCAACTGTGGGACCCCCTCACCCCCCGGACTATTCGATATGCAGCCCATCTTTTTGTTTCTGGCCTTTCCTTTTTAGGTACTGGTGCCTCTTCCAGGCAAGCCAAGATGTGGAGCAGACTTTTTCCTGTTCATCTGTGTGTAACTCCTTGCAGCCTGTACCAATGACCTGAGTGCGAGCGGCCTTCAGAGGGTTAAGTTGGCTGGCCCCAATCCCATGTGGCAGAAACAGGAGGGACTGAGCTGCTGGCTCGTGGGTCAACTTGATATGGTCACCACAGTGACACACCCATTCCTTAGATCAGGCTGAATACCAGCTATCACCTCTCTTGTGAAAAGCAGATAGGTTTAAACAATAGCCAAAACCTAAGATCTTTTATGTTTGATCACATGCAGACTAAGCGCCTATGATTTGCCCAGCACCAACATAAGAGGGAGATGGCAAAGAGGGTTTGTCTCAGGTGCGGACGTTCGTTGGTGGTGGCACCGGGCAATGCTCTGCTGCGGAGGATTCTGAACCCCGGGGCCTGGTGTAAAGAGTACCATGATTGGTTAATTATGGCTGACCATGAATGTGGAAGGAGTTGTTAGAGCATGCATTTCATACATTTGTCATCTGAGTAGAACAAAGACTGATGTCATTTTTTAAAATTTTTTATTATTTTTTATTACATTCTTCATCTTTGTGATAAAAGGAGGCAGCTTAGGAAAAAAAAAAAGCCTCTGGATATATTTTTGGGTCCTTTAATAAGGTCTCGGTTGTAATAGCCTTAAGGTCAAGAACCAAAATTATGTGATAAGACTTCAAGATGTCCATGAAAAAGAAAAGGCCACAGCCATTCCTCTTTCCACATCAAATAAGAAGACATTTCTGAGGTTTTTCATTTTTTTATTGCTTCATCCCCATAAACGACCTGATCTGAAGTCTTTTGAGAGTTGCCCTAAATCTTTGGGGGAACACTAGGGTTGTTACTGAACATATGCACTTGAACAAAATTACACATGGAACCAATCTGAGGGGACTATCTGGAGAGTTTGTGGGAGAAAATATCCCTATAACCTCCTTTTTTTGTTTTCAAATTCCAGGCAGGACTTTCAGGGAAGAGTATTCTTTACTCTGGCCTGAATTAGTCAGATGCAGACATGCCTCCTTTCATCAAGCTTCGCAGATACTGTGTTCCTACAAATGGAAGGTTTGTGGCAATCCTGCGTCCAACATGTTTCCAGTAGCATTTGCTCGCTTTGTGGCTCTGTGTCACATTTTGGTAAATCTGGCAACATTTCAGGCCTTTTCATTATTATATTTGTTACAGTGATAGGTGATCAGTGATTACAACTCACTGAAAGCTCAGGTGACAGCATATTTTAGCAATATTTTCTAATTAAGGTATGTACATTGTTTTTTTAGACGTAAGGCTATTACACACTTAATAGACTACTGGATAGTGTGAACATAGCTATGGTACGCCCTGGAAAACCAAAAAATTCATTGGACTCGCTCTCTTGCAATACTTGCTTTATTGTGGCAGTCTGGAACCGAACCCACCGTATCTCTGGGGTATGCTTGTAATTGCTTTAATTTTCCACCCTACCTCGTGAGTGTGGTTATAGTGAATACATGAGTTAGCACCTTTATTTAGGAAGTAAAGATGAATATATATCTAAATAGGACAGGCAGGCTTTACGTAAAGAAGTAGAAGACTGTTCCTGAGAAACCACATACTAAGTAAGACTCAACACAGACCTACTTTAGCACTCAGCACTAGCAACTGTGACCCTCTGCTCTTGATAGTAAAGGTGTGTGGTGCCTTAAAAGAAGATCACACCAGTATTTGGGTCATTTATTTCCTATAGCTAATTTTGGAGATAGTTATCTATGATAAATGATATGTTTTCTGGCTTTTTTAGTTCATTACTTCTGTTATTAAAAAAAGAAAATGGACATGAACTCCATCTTTCAAAATCTGATCATCTGTCTTTTGCATTTTTCATCTTTCTGTCTTAACAGTTCGATTCATCTTGAGCTCAGGGTACTGTATGTAGGTGATGAATCATTGAATTCTACACATGAAACCAACATTGCACTGTATGTTAACTAACTAGAATTTAAGTAGAAATTTGAAAAAAAAACAACAACCCAATTTGATTCATCTTTACATTTCCCCCATTAAAATCCTGAATTTTTAAAAAATGAGTCAGTTCATTTTAAGTCAGCAAACTACCATGCCTCTATATTTTATACTTTAGATCATAAGCCAGAATAGACAAGACTAATACATTTCCTCAAATCCATGGAGTTATTATAATCTATAATATTTTGGAGCAATGATTGGATTATATTTTTATAATACTAGTTCTCCTTGTGATTCTATAAGTACAACCCATTTCTAGAAGATCCCAAATTTCTCTTGATGCCTGGGTTTAATTAGCAGTGAATAACCATGTTCAAATGTATACAAACAGTACTTTTTAAAAATAGGCCCGAGAGATCAGAAATAATAGAAAAGCAAAAAACCATTATATCAGGAATGCAAATATGTAATTTCTTAACTATCTTTAAAGTGCCGTATTTTCTCAACACGTAAGGGGAAAGGTCAGAAACATGCGTTATGAATTCAATAATTGTAGAGGTCATTTTGAAATGAGGGCCACATTTCATATCAGTTTAAAAGATTCTTTATCAATTTCCAGAGCAGTTAAAACTTTTCCTTTTTAATATCAACTGCCACATATGAAATGTAGGAATTTGGTGCCTCATAAATAAATACACAAAATATGTGAAATCGAGGTGCATGCATGCAAAGGAGGAGGCCTGGCAGCTGGGACACATTAATAATGCCAGAGGGGTCACCATCTGGGCATGTGCATATAAAACACAGCTGCATTCCTGGGAAGGGCAGCCTGTGCATCTGGATCACATCACCAAATGTTCTCCCCACCCACACGTTGTGGCAGAGGAATTTCCTGACGAATCAGATGCTGCCCAAAGGTACCAGGCTTTTTCTTGAAGCTAGGCACATAACGATTCTGAAAAGAATAGCAAATCAATTCAAAACAAAGATAGCTTTTTATTTGCCTAATTATACAGAATGATGAATGGATCACACAACATAAAAGAGAGAGAGAGGGAAAGGGAGGGAGGGAGGAGAGAGAGAGGGAGACAGAGAGAGAAGGAGGGAGGGAAGGAGGGAGGAAGTTATGTGTTGCTTATTTCCTTTGCACTGCAAATCCCTAAGTATTTGCAGCCATTTGTCCATGTGTCTTTGTGTATTTGCATAGGTGGAGATGGAGCAAAGAGCAAGGAGATGCCAGAGGTAAGTAGAAAATTATCATGTAAATAAATCACTCCAGGAAATACTGCCGCTATTATTAGTACAAAGGCAATGAAGGAGTGTGGACATAAATCAAACAAGTAAAAGGATGGAATCTTGGCACCGGAAGGGCCATTAGAAATTCACTTGGTCCTTACTTCTACCTTCAAATCAATTCAGACTGTTGATTTTGCTCTTTAGATTCTTAAAGGAGATTCTGCAATGTTATGTATGTATGAAACTCTGTATGTATTTGTGTGTTGCCTCATATGAAAAAGACTCAGGCAGGCATAAGGCTTTACTGGTACAGTAATATGTTCTAGTGTTTCACAGCTATTAATAGGCAGGAAGTTGATTTAAATAGAGCAATATTTCAATCTGTGGCAAATTATTTGCCTGTATGTTGAGGCAAGTTAACAGTGCGTCTGAAGCTCAAATTCTGTGTCTGGAGTCATCAGGCCTTCTCTTGATTTGAAGGGAAGTACAAAGATTCTTTTTTGGCACCTTCCCCCTATTTCCTGCAGATATGGAAAGTAGGATATAAAAAAGAAGGTAGAGAGGGTGGCGTTGAGTGAGATTTTATTTTTTAATTAAACGCTGTTAAAAGCATTTAGAAAGCTTTTCCGTCTGGGCTGCCGACATGCCGTCCAGACTGAGGAAGACCCAGAAACTTCGGGGCCACGTGAGCCGGGGCCACGTGAGCCACGGCCACGGCCTCATGGGCAAGCACCGGAAGCACCCAGGAGGCCGGGGTAATGCTGGTGGCATGCATCGCCACAGGATCACCTTCGACAACTATCACCCAGGTTACTTTGGAAAAGTTGGTATGAGACATTACCACTTAAAGAGGAATCAGAGCTTCTGCCCAACTGTCAACCTTGATAAACTGTGGACATTGGTCAGTGAGCAGACACGGGTAAATGCCGGCAAAAACAAGACTGGAGCTGCTCCTATCATTGATGTGGTGCGATTGGGCTACTACAAAGTTTTGGGAAAGGGAAAACTCCCAAAACAGCCTGTCATCACGAAGGCCAAATTCTTCAGTAGAAGAGCAGAGGAGAAGATTAAGGGTGTCGGGGGCACCTGCGTTCTAGTAGCTTGAAGCCATG